AAAAAGACCAGGGTACACCTAAATGGAGACAGAAAACAGCTCGTCTCTGAAATGCAGTCACCATGCCTGTGTATTATGTAAATCTTTGCAATGTACCTTTGTACATAATTTTGTAAAAACACTGAGAAATATACTAACTTATTTATGTCAAGCCTTTTTTTTTTTATGTAGAATAAAAAAATATGGGTTTTTGATTACGGTTATCCAAAGTGGCATTTACTTTATTATAATTGTTTTATTTTGTAAAACCATATTTTTGGTAGTTTTTTGTTTTGTTTTGTTTTGTTTTCTTATAAAGGTTGCAAACTGAGCCTGGTAAAATATTTGATGTGCATTTTTTAATGTGTGGTTATAAAATGTATTGCAATCAATTAAAAAAGAAAAAAATGAGTTGTGGTTCCTTCTTACACTCGGTGTAAATTACACACTTTGTTTGTAGAAAAATAGGATGAAAATAGTTTTTGCTTTGTTCATTCCCCAAATCACTGGGACGTACAAAGTATTTGCAACAGCTGTGTGGGTGGACTTCCTGAAATAATACTGTGACACTCCCAATATAATTCCATCAGCACTATGAGCAGCAGGTTGACACTTTAGTCATCCAATCAAAAAGACAATGGGGAAAGCAGACCACTCGCTGCAGCCAGTAACATTTAGTAATTTATGGGTAAGGCTTTCATTTGCTTTTAATCTCAGTACAACAGTCTTTTGAATGCAAAGTAATACAAGGCAAGTCAGGCTTTTTGTTTTGTTAGGCTTTTTTTTTTTTATTACCATTTGTTGTTTTTTCTTTTTCACTATTTACGTGGACTTAGTTGCATCTGTCTGTGTCTATAAAAAGTGTGTGTGTGTGTGTGTGTGTGTGTAAGAAAATAAGGGAGTGTGTAACTGGAAGACCCAGAGTGATTTTTTTGAAAACTTTTCTTTCATACATGTGTCTTCTATAATATATCAAATTCATCAAAATTTTATTTTTTATAGATTTTTGATTTATTTCAAGTATTTTTTTGAATGTGTACAATGCAATGTGCACACAAGCTCAGTATTGTACTTATATACATTTTAATCTTTGAACTGAAAAATCATAAGTATGTCTTTTATATGTTTAAAATAAATTAATTCACATAGGTATTGATTTGGTTTGACCTTTAATCAGTCAAAATTATTATAATTTGCTTTTTTTTTGTAATTAAATCACCTACAGTAATCCACTTGAAACATGAAAAACATAAAATAAAGGTGTTCTTACAGGTGCTATCAGGCAACACATATGTGCCATTGTACACCAACTTTCATCCAGTACTTGATAATAATAGTAATAATAATATAAAGAGAATTGCTCAGAGTAAGTGTTGTTGAATCTGGCTGTTGTGGGTCTGAAACTCAGTAGAAAACTGACTCAGTGATTCTACTCCAAATAAATTGGTGTTTTCTATTAAACAGAAGCTTCTTAATGTTGTACTTTTCAGCTTTCTTGTCACTCTGAGTGATGTATGCTAAAAGTGGAGCCCTAACCTGTGCTGAGATGCTCTTTGACCTCTAGTAACTTCACTAAATGTTTTCACTGCTCAGAATTTCCCAGCTTCCTTCTTGTGTCAGCAGCACAGGAAGACACCTGCGCTTAGAGCATTTTAAAGCTGGATGGGTGGAGGCTGTGCATTTGAGTGTGCCTAAGAGTTGGTGGGGGTGTGAGTGGTGTGGTACGATAAAAGTGTGTGGGGGGTGGGTCCACTCCTGAAGTGTGCAGGTGGGTAACCTCAGCTCAGCCATGCACCCCCACTCTGAGCTTGTCCCATTGTCCCAGTGTGTGGGCTTTTGTGTGGACAGCCATTGTAAGGGCCCAGGGCTGGCCACTGTTGTGTCTGGGGCTTCTCTGCTCAAACAAAGGCCCCGTCTATGAGCCTCCACCCTACCCAAACAGCAGACTGACTGACTGACTTGGTGTCTGACTGACAGACTAGGTGGCTGACTAACTGACTGAATGGCTGACTGGGTGCCTGATTGGTTGAGTGATTGATTGGATGGAGCAGAAGAGGGGAAGTACTGTGTTTCAGGCAATCTGTAATACTCAGTGTACATCAGTGTCACTTATATACGTGATACTGATAAACGTATGATGAATAAAATACCACATAAGTTTTTTATTATCATAATATGTATAAAATGCATTAGCTTTAATGGGATTTTGACAGGGTGATCATTTAAAAACAAAGTGCTGTAATGAGGCACTCAAGGGACATGTTCTGAAATGTAAATAAAAAAATGGCAAAAGAGTTTTTTGTTGTTGGGGTTATTTTCCAGGAAAATGCCACAGTCGCAGGTGTTTTTGCATGCATAAGACTGACATCATTCCACATATTCACACCAGCCTTTTATTACATGGGTGCATTTTTCAAATTTCTTCAAGTATATTTGTACAATGCTGGTGTAACAGTTGCACACATTTCCCAAATGCTACACTGTTCGTAAAACTCTCATATAGATATCTATAAATTGTATAACAGCTTGAGCATCCTTATCTGTAACATACTTCTATTATGCTGTTACTATTTCATGTAATCTAATGTTTAAACTATTGGATCAACACTTAAATAATATATATATTCTAAATGACAGGGAATAACAGGGTTCCTTATTCAAAAGGTCAGTAAAAACCTCGACCGCTGTGACGCAGCAGCATTCAGCTCTGCGTCGGAAACACCTTTTCTGCAACAACGGGAATGTCCCAGAAAACATTCCTGTAACACTCCAGCACAGCCACCCAAACAAAAAACGCACTGAGTTCGAGGAAATTCCTGTAAGCCAGTCAATCAAAGATGTGGAAGGCATCGTTGGCCTGTTCCTCTCTGCAACATCTTGCATGTGCCAAGAATTCACACTTCCTTGCTATATCAACAGAAACAGGTTATCTTTTCCTGTTAAGCGCCCCAGCACTTAATATAAAGCCACAAGTTCCTCCCTGTGTTTCCTGCCCAGGCCACAACGTACGTCATCGAGCTGTTCCCCTGGCACCTTAGGCTGTGAATAAGGAGAAAGCAAGTGGCCACAAACAAACACCTTACATTTATCTCTCTGTCTCGTTCTGTGTCTGTTTCTTGGTTTCTCCAGTGTAGTTTCTAACAGTCTGCAAGCATACAAATTGCTTTACTTGCTGAGCGTTTGCTGCAGCCCGGGATGGAATTTCAACAGTTTTTTTGGACTGCTGAATTTGATTAATTGAGCAAGGAAGGGCTGTTTCAATACAGGGAAACGACTTCATTGAATAGCAGATGCACTGTCAGAACTTCAGTATGTCACATACTCTGGTGTCGTATGCAAAGGCTGCATGCTGCAGAGTTAGTGTGAATGAGAGGCAGGGAGGAGAGGTTAAGAGGTCAGAGATACTGCAGAGCTCTGAATGACAGATGCGCAGATGTGCATCTGCGGCGCAGTTTGGGGGGACAGAAAAGCGAGGGAGTTTGGGGCGGAGGGTGGGATTGGGGTGGGGGGTAATGCTCATTAAAGCAGCACACCTGCAGCCCATCAAAGAGCCTTTATCTCTTATCAATTGAAATCTGCTAAAGCACGCAGCATTAGACGCACAAAACAAGCAGACTGTGCTGCATGCTCACTCATACTCTCTTTATCTCTTTCCCTCTCCCAGTCGATTCTGACCAGTGGCTAGTACCTGGCGCACTAATCCTGTCAGGAATGCTGAGGGGTGTATTTGGATGCATTTGGCTGAGAAATAGAGACGACTCTTCCCGCTGAAACATCTGTGCAGAGCACAGTCTTTCCTCTCATCAGTTTCATGTCAGATCCTTTTTCATTGACCTCAAGGAATCTCACACAATGGTGTTATCAAACTGTAAAGCTCTTAAGATTTCCCCAACAAAACACACCATTCAACTTTTCATGTATTTTGAAACTGTGTTCTTTGGAGACCTGGAGTGTACAATGTGCCTGTCTCTAAAACACTTTGGGTCAACTTCTATTGCTTAAATTTGGTATAGACTATAAATCCCACAAAAGGTTTCAGACATTTTTCATGATGTCTATCTTTTTTTTTAAATGTTTAATAAACAAAGTATCGATCCTATTGCACTAGTATTGATCTGATACCCATATCGGCGTTTGTATTGATAATACTGACACTTGGATTGATCTGCTAACCTTTAGTAAAAGGAGTAAGTCAGTCCATAAATAACCAAAGGAATAAATGTGTGTGCAGCGATATGTGGAAGTTCACTGAGGTGAAAGAGCATGTGATTGTACGAGAGATTTAAGCCCCACCCCCAACCCCAAAAGAATGTATAGTTGTTACGGAAAA